ACTTTCTTATGTAAATTTTATAAACGCAAAATCCAACGACTAAAAAAAAGCAATAGAAGGATGAGCGATTAAAAAGTATTCACAGTCGCTAATTGAGCGACTAAGCGACACTCACAATAGCATCGATAATCGATAATCGCTTAATAGTCGTTTATCTACTGCCAGTCGACACTCGCAATAGGGGTGATAGATTAAAACACATACACCCCTATTGCGAGTGTCGAACAAGAATAGATAATCGACTACTGAGCGATTATCGATTATCGAACTATTGCGAGTCTCGAATGATCACTCAGCAAGCGACTGTGAATGCTTTTTAATCGATCATCTTTCTACAGCCATTTTCTAGTCGTTGGAGAGTAAAGTTGATGAAAAAAGAACGAAAATGGATAAAAAGTAAGCAAATTTAAAGAAAATAAATAAAAATATACATAAATAAAAGTAATAAAATAATTATATTAAAATTACAGATCAAAAGTAGTTAGTAACAAAAAGCAACTAGCGCGATTAGTGGAGTTGATGCAAAAAAACAGCGACTAACAAGCACCTAAAACGATTTTTGAGCACCCCAATAGTGCGTTCCACAATATTCCGTCCTTGAGAATGTTTACCGTTGAACATACATTCTGCTGATCCGGGCTCTGGGTTTCGGTATGGCGTAAGCATATAGGGTTGTAAGGCATACCCTCCATCACCTAAAATTGGAAATAGCTATGACACAACCATTCGAATGTCTACATAAATTAGCCATAGCATACCTAATAACATATTTCGCTCGCCACTACGATACTCTTCTTCTAATTGTTGCTTCAACGCAGACATATTAAAAACATTAGCATCATGCGTAGCTCCAGGGTACTTCGCGTTGATATAGCGGATTCGCATGGCGTTGTCGCAAACCTATAAATGAAGAAAGATTATAAACTCCATTGTTGCATTTCCTTTATAAATACTCACTATCATTGCATTCAAGCTGAAAAATCCTTTCCGATTGTAATACAAATGCTGATGATCCTTTTTTGGGGAAACAATTTTGATGTGCGTACCGTCTATGCAGCCTATTACTCCGGGTATTCCGCTCCTCCCAAAGAAATAACACTTTGTTTCTCGTTTTTCCTCTTCACTGTTTTGCATTTTTATCCAATCTCTGCAGACGCATTCCTCCAAAGCATTGAATACTTCCGCCAAAATTATGGACACCGTAGATTGGCCAAGCCCAATACAACTTTCGTTCCCGACACTTAGCTGATACGACCCCTGAGCACAGAACCTCAAAGTCGCTGCCAACTTTAAAATATTTGGAACTGATGTTTTACTAACGCCAGCTTGCAGTTTGCTATCTAATAGTGTGAGCAAATGCGTAAATGCAGCCTTCGGAAGACGAAAATTTTTCAAAAATCTTAAAAAAATATAGATTGATTACTTTTGTATCAACTACGCACCGTTGAAACCGTATACATACATATTTTCCTCCAATTCCAGAGGATTAGACGAATCCCTCAACATTCTCCTCGTTCTTGCTAACTCTACTAATCTTTCACTTTCCTCGTCATCACTATCACTGAACCACACGTCGACACTATCCATTAGTGGTATTTTCTTTTTTAAATTGTTAAATTGAAAAGTTTTGGACAATTGTATTTTATTTTATTTGCCAAATATATCAAAAATGTAAACAAACACCGAAACAGCTGATTGCAATTCAGTAAGCCATTCACAATTGTACAATTGTTTATCGATTCAGTTCCGCAATACCAAAATAAAATATGATCGACTCAATAGAAAAATGTCTATTCTACTGCTAATCGACACTCGCAATAGGGGTGATAAATATCGATAATATAAGCGAAGTCGTAATTTAACCATGCTGCCGCTCTATTCTAGGGTATCAGTAGTCCATTTGGCTCGATATTATGACAATGCAGCAAAAGATATTTAATATAAAAAAATCGCCTTTCCATACGATTTTTGTGTACGTCTTTTTCCATTGATAACTACGATATCTTTTATATTTTATATTTTGAGGGCAAAAATTATACAAATCCAGCAATTTTAAATATTAATATCGTTCTGAAAACACCAAGTTGGTTAAAAATCAAGATAAAATGAAATACTAAAATGGAGTATTTTAAATACAATTTCCCAACTAATAGCATTATAAAAATTAAGATCGGCAGCACTGAAAATAAGCATGCCGATCTTGTCAAAATTACAACAAACACGTCGCTACTGACAACACCTTGTTATTATTTCACCATGGGATATGCCCATGCATGTACAGTCATCCAGATAGGCAAAACAAAAAATCTAAATATGCTTATTTGACAATTTGTTTGAATGTATTGGTTGATATTTTTTCACAGTTGTCGTTTTCGTTAACCCAAATGAAATCAAATTTCAATATTTCTTTATAGTGAAAAATATTTTTAAGTCAAATAAAACAAAATAACGTGAGAAACAAAATTCCACGCAAATCGGGAGCGAAGCGTAGCGATTATGACCGGATCCAGTGACAAAAAAAACCTACACATGCACAGTATTTCATGCATTAATTTTCAAATAAGCATATTGTCAATTGCTGGTTTACTGTATACTGTGTGCCCATGATGCAATAATACAAGTTGTTATACGTTGTGACAGCGCCTACTTGTACGCCCTTAGCTCAATGTTCTATTTTGGAAGTACGCGCGAATCGGGGAATAAATGAAGCCCATTTCAGAAATAGCAGTAGACTTCCTACTTTTTTGTTACCTTATAGAATATATACTACAACAGAAAATGAAAGAATTTGTATGCAATGTATTGAATAATTTAATCTTTTGCACTAATTTTGACTTACCCGATTAAACTAATTCTTCAACGATTTATTAAGGGAGAGGATTTTTAAGTTAAAGCTAGATTTGCGTTAGGAGGATATTTATATTTTTAAAACTACTTTGGCAAATCATAAAGCACAATACATAAATACTAGCCGAACCTTATGCTACATACATATATATATTTTTAGAAGCTTTTATTTACTTGCGCCTGTGTAATCAAATCTTGAAATCCATTTTAACCAACTTCCCGATCAGATAGAGATTTGAAACTGTAAACTTAACTCAGGACCCGATGACAATGCAATATGAAAGTTGAAATAATCTGCTAGGTGGCGCAGGAGTCGAGATACTTGAAAAATCCCGATTTGTTTCATATTTAGAACCTTATATTACTTAAATGGAAAGAAATAACTCCAAAGGAATTTAGCCGTTGGATGGTGGATTGCGGTGGTCGATTTTTCTATTCATTTTTTTTTAATTACTTGTTTCCAACTGTTTCTGCAGCTTTTGTTGCTGTTTCTTCAAAACTTTTGCTAAATCCACTTGGCGCCATAAAAGAATGGCTATCCAGCTGCAATAACTCTTCGAGAGTCGTAATCATGAGAAGTATTAAAAATTTCCTCATTATGCGCATGCATAAAGTAAGAAATTAGGAAATATTTTTCAGTAGCTATTACCAGTGGAAATTTTCATATTGTATTTTTTTACTTCCTTTAGACACTGATTGTTGATACATCAACAGTAACCATTAATTAAAAAAAAAATAATCTGCAGCTCAAAATCCTCCAAATTAGAAGATAAGCGCGTCGTTACATGTATGCATGTACCTACCTTTATATTTATTAGTCCTAGATATTTCCATACATATGCTAATAAATATATCTAGATATTAAAAAATATAAAACTTGTATGTATACACATATGTATGTATGTATTTATTTTTCAATATATTGAAAAAAAAATATATATATTTTTTACAGCTCAATACCCACTAGGAAAATAGGTAAGCACCTTACGAGGTAAGCCATGTTCTCTTTCAGTTTTTAGTATCAAAATTGTCATCATTGCCAATGTGACCTACTAGTAAAGCGCAAAATGAACACCTCCGACGACACATTACGTTGTCAGTTGCAAAATAACGTGCAGCCGAAGTTATTTCCAAGCACGGAACTACTCCGAGCGACTGCTCTGCATTTCACGTAACTTACTTTGTAAAGCGGCTCAGAAGTATGTCTGATACCAAATGTACATTCTAAATTCCTTCTTACATAAGGTGGCCACGTCTTTGTTAAAGTAAGGGAGATTCGTCAGTGACGTGGTAAGGACAGCCGGGTGAAGTGTAAGTTGCTGGTAAGGTATTGCCCTTCACCTGGCGGTCCTTACCACTTCCCTGCCGAATCTCCATTACTTTAACAAAGACGTGACCGCCTTATGTAAGTAGAAATTAAGAATGTACGTTTGGTATCAGACATACCTCTGAGCCGCTTTACAAAGTAAGTTACGCGTAATGCAGAGCAGTCGCTCGGAGTAGTTCGGCGCTTGGAAATAACTTCGGCTGCACGTTATTTTGCAACTGACAACGTAATGTGTCGTCGGAGGTGTTCATTTTGCACTTTACTAGTAGATGACATTGGCCATGATGACAATTTTGGTACTAAAAACTGAAAGAAAACATGGGTTACCTCGTATATACTAAATATATGTATTTATTATTATTATTTAGTGACTGGTATGAATATCAGTATTAAAAGTATGTTTGAGCGTTGGCGGCCAAAGCAATCGTTCAATTTCCACGTAGAATCTCAAGCTCTTCGGGCAGTGCGTATGTATATCCGCAGCTGCTTTTTAATAATTAGGTCCTGTAAATGAGTCAACTCTTGTGGCACATATGTCGCACCATCCAGGTATAGCGCTTTACTCCACTGGCATTCATCTAAAGCAGTCAAAAGACACCTTTGCTCGTCTCAAAATCAGTACACTGGTCAGATAAAAATCGGATATATAATCGCCAAAAGAGAGCATTCCTTAGCAATGTGCTTCTCGTTTTTGACTGAGTCAGGTTATCATTTGACAAAGTTTTAAAAACGTGCAAAATACGATTACGTGTGATTAATTCATTACATCGCTTATCCCATTCAATAACATTTATACCATCATTTGCAAATAGCTCATCGGTGTTGATCTTAAGGAACCGATAAGGTGCTAAAACAATTAAAAATGTCACTGAGAATATCGTCGGTTTGGCACGAAGAAATGCAGTTCTTATTCGAAACCAAGGCTCTGAGCTCAACATGCTACAATGTTGCAGGAGAAATAGGATGGATTTTGCTCATACAATGACAATAAGTCGAGCCAGACTTGCACATCGCAAGATGCCTCCAATGTTTTTCGATTCAATTGACCCATTCGTGCATTATATTCATTTTCATCTAGAGGTAATACTGAACCATAATTTTGATCACTGGAAGCTTTTGCCTTTACTAGAAAATAGCGTTTACTAGACTTTTTGTTGACATTTGAATTGTGCCAAAATCTAGCTCCCAAAATGTAGCCAAATGAATGCCTGTAACGAGGACATGCGGGTTTATGCAAACTACGTATAGAAAGGAATTGTATTGTCTTAGATTTATCTATGTAATACTCCTCATTGGCTAAGGAATAAAACCTATTAGTATAAGAAATATTCATATATTCCACATGTACTTACAACGGAAAAGTGTATTCGGTGCAGAAGCACAAAATCCAACTTGAAATCAACACGGAAAAGCAGCTCGGAAAACACAAATTGTCTGTGAAATTCACATACACACAAAACAGCAGAAAACCTGTGGAATAATTTTATTTATAGATTCTATATCACATAAGCATAAAGTACTTACGATTTGAGCAATTGGTTATCCAAAAATGGCAATAAATGCTGAAAATTCTTAGTTTTCAGAAATTAGCTATCAATTCGCACAAATTTTAATATTGATTGTCAACGAATAACAATAGAGACAGAGACGAAAAAGTCGATTAGTGACGCCAATCGTTGTCGATCTATGGTTTTGTTTGTGTGAGTACCATTTTTAGTACTCTTTCAAGAAAATCGCTGTAATATAAAAAGTAGTTGGTCAAAGCGGCAAATTGAATTTACTAAGGGCGTTCAAAATGGCGATTAGAGCGAGAGGAAAGCGAACGTATAACTCCTTCTTTATTGCATCATGGGATATGCCCACATTACTGTAGGGCCAATTAAGGTGCTGCCGTATCGCGAGTAGTGCCCTTACATCACCCTCCTTGAGAAAAGACTCTTGCAAGGTGATCAGACTTGCAAGAATCTTTTGCTCTACGGGTAATGAAAAATTGATAAGGGAGAACGAGATATTTATTACGGATATTATAAGTTTAATTATTTATTTATTTATTTTATTTATTTATTTATTATTATTATCAACAAACAGGACGCTTACAGACTATATGACAAATATATACATAGAATAAGGGAAACCCTTATGAAAAGTGCCTTATGAGTAAATTCTTAAAAGTAAACTTTGAGTAAGAAAAATCGAAGTCTAAAGATGAAGAATAAGCATTAAATTGGGGGAGAGTCCTCCTTAAAGGAGCATTAATACCATAAGCAGTTCTAACAACACCCACAAAAAACAGTTCATTACAACGAAGAATACGTGAGGGAAC